CCGCATTTTTGGTACATGATGGTACCGTCTTTAGCACCAATCGACAAAATCCGAACCATGTCCGATCTGACCCAACTCGGAGCTTTGTTAGGAGAGCATACAGATTAGCCCCATGAACACGAATTCGGCTTAACAGACGAATTTGGCCCAGACACACAATATCCAAGTCGGCCTAGCATATCCCAAATAAAAAAGAAAGAATTAACATGAAGAATGGAAAATCACTTTAAAATTTTCTATATCACTTTAGAGTTTGTTCAACCGACTTTATACTTATATAAATATGCAATATAATTTTTTGGAAAAAGGATTCGAAACTTGAATCAATACAAAGACATATTGTTTATTTTTTTGTCGTTTTTAATATTTTTGAGCTTTCACTTAAAAGACAATTAGTTCCTCAATTATTTAGGAAAAATCCAAATAGCTTACGTGAATTTACGAGTACACATCACTAACCAAAAATTATTTGATGGGCTCAAGTTGGTTTGAGAGGATGAGCTAATTCGTGTTGACCTATGCTGAAAGTGTTACATATCGACAAATATAAATGGGCCTAATCATTGTTGCCTTAAAATCCAATGGTCTTGAGTATAGTATACACAACACTATTTTCTCATTTTGGCTATGATTGATATTCCAATTAGCAGGATAGTGTAACGGTTTCTCGTCCGTAAAACTTTAAACATAATATGATTTATTTGAGACATTGTACAGATAGAATAAAAGTCACAAAGTAGATAAAATTTCCGTATAGATAAGTTAATATTTTTGCTGTTCCTTGTAATTTTCTTAATCGAAATTGATAGAGCTTCATATTAACAGCATCATAAGCATTGAATTCTCTCCGAAGAGGAGTGAGACAAAATGTTCATATGTTTTCTATTCGAATTATTTGCAAATCTGATATAACCCTCTCATCAACCGCTTTGATAATTGTCATGATCATGAATTATAGAATTCTTGAAGAATCCAAGACTATAAACATAAGATTGTATCGAAATATATTAAAAAAATAAATAAGACTCAAATACTATATACGCTAGCATTTCATGTCGTTACATTATGCAAACAACACATGATCATTTTGATGAACTTATGTAGCTACTCCTAGTATTCCTCGGTAAGAACATCATTATTGGTAACACCATTTAAAGGGTCTTAAGTATATTTTAAAGATTAAATTTAATATTAAAAAGAGTTTGACACTCAATTAGTTTCATGTAAATATATATGTCTCCAATGGTGACACTTGATTGGGGTTCTAAAAATTTTAAAAATAATTATTTTTTTTACATG